AGTAACTCACCTCAAGAAGAGCTTCTTTTAACTTCCCATAGGCATCCTCCAAATTATCATTGACAATTATGGCATCAAATACACCAGGCTCTCTACCTATGGGGAGATATAAGTATGTTCAGTCATGTTTTACGTTTATGTGGTCACATTTTTGAGAACAAACAATAAATACTTACTAAACGCAATTTCCACCTTGGCTGCATTTAAACGCTTCTGGAGGTTCTCCTCTGACTCTGTTTTTCTGTCTCTTAAACGTTTTTCCTGAAATAATACAAATTTTAAAAAAGGGGTTCAATGTCCAGAAGGGATTCAGACATACTGAGAGCATCCATATGACCAGGTACCTGTGGTACAAAGAAAACTAACCCCAGGAACTCTCTGGCAGGAAAACAGGAACCTCGAGATGTGTGTGCAGTGTATCAACTCAATGAAATTAATTAAATTGCGTGCTTACCAGGATTGCCATGGATGGCGGCTGGATAGAGATGTAGATGGGATTGAGGTCTGTTGTTTTGATGTTCCTCACACCCTGCATGTCGATGTCAAGTATACAGATGAGGTTCTTGGCCTGGACGTCTTGCACAGCAGCTTTACTCGTCCCGTACATGTTCCCGGAAAACTCTGCATTCTCAATGAAATCGCCTTTGTCAATCCCTCTCTGCATCACCTCCCGTGTAACATAATGGTAGTCTGAAACACAAAGAAGAAAGAATGATGAGGAAAGCTGCGATACTACTGACTCAAAAAATGCAATTTACTGTTACAGTGGTTGTGAAAGAGGAGGAAGATGCTGTACCTTTGCCATTTTCTTCTCCAGGTCGGGGATTTCTCGTTGTATCTGAGGAGTGATAAGACATTTATGTCATAATGAATCATTTAAACAATTAGTTGACAGAAAATAAATCTGTAGGGCTGCTTATAGTGATTGTTTTCATTGTTGATTAATCTACTGGTTTTGGTCAATAAAATGTTGAAAAATAGTAAAAAAAAAAAAAAATATCAAGAGGTTTCATAAGCCCAAAGTCAGGTCTTTACATCACTTGTTTTTTTTGCAACCAGCAGTCCAAAATGTAAAAATATTTGTTTTCATGCAAAACATTTCTCCGGGTCAAGCTTCTTAAATGTGAATATTTGCTGCTTCCGTGTGTTTTTTATCACTGTACTAAAGTCATATGTCACAAAACAAGTTATATATCAGCTTGGGCATTTTACTGTTTTGTGTATGCCTGCACAGGCTTCTATGAGTAACATTAAGCACACATACTTGACTGTATGGTAAGAACACCACCAAAATGATTGTTTTATGGTCTGGCAAGCACAGAGTGGCAAACTTACGGGAGACGCTGAAGCCAAAGACACTGTCGTATTCTTTCATGAGCTTCTTCAGCAGAGTGCTCTTCCCTGCCCCGGACGGGCCGCTAAGCACCACAGGCCTGGGTCCAGCCATAGCTGAAAGAGAGGTGGGGAGGAGAGTTCAGTAAAGGAAACAAGTGGGTGAGGCTGAAGGGATGACAAATCCCCACTGGAATCTTACGACATGAGTCATATAAGGACCAAATCTGTCTGTGGATTAACATATGTCCTTAAAGAAAAAAACAAAAAACAAAAAAAAGACAGACATTTCACATTGTTACAGTAGGTTTACATGTTTCGACAAGCCCCGCTCTGGTGGGATAAACACCATAAATGATAAGCCAGCGGTTCTCAAAGGAAAAACCAAATGATGAGGCCAAAACACCCAAGCCTTGAGGTTTCCATGGTGCTGTCGAGGAGCAATTACTCACTAATTGGAGAGCCCTACTCTGCTTGTGATTGCAGGAAAGAACAAAACAGCTACAAGAAGCAAGGATGGAAAAACTGCTTTAAATAGATGTGTGGGCTCACATTCAAGTAAGTCAACTTCAAATTCCATTTAAGTTATGCAGTCACTATCATTTTACAAAACATCTCATCTTCTCTATACTGTACTATAATATACACAGCTTTTCTTTCATTAAAAACTATTTTAGGTAAGATACTCAATTAACAAATAAAATAAGGCCTAGTGCAGTGTTCCTCCTTACCTTTCCTCAATACACACAGAGCTCGAGCAGACAGGAATCAAGTGAACGGAGAGGTTTAAGTGCAGGAGGGAGGAGTGGAAAAAGAGAGGGCGGGGCCATGTTTGCACACTAGATTTTGTAGTTAAAGATACATTTAAAAGGTTGAAGAGATTTATCCACAATAATATGACTGATCTACATATATGTGTGTGTGTGTGTTTTATTTCTAGTCTAAAGGCTGAAACAAGGACCATCCATTTTGTCTAGTGTTTGCATGATCTTGTCTATGGGTAGGGAAAACAAGGCAGTATAACAGGAAGTCAGCAGTAACAAGCATCTTCCAAACATCTATTAACAAAAGGAAACCAACTGTAGCTGTGCTCCTGAGCTTATAAAAGAACTACAGTGAAAAGCTTTTATCAATCATCATTAATAACTGGTTATAGGCCTATTACTTACATCGATGTCAGGTATCAGACAGGTTGGCAATTATTCCAAAAACGAGGAATTCCATGTGACATGATGACATGTACCAAATTACAAATAATATATGTATATACACACAGTAGCTCAATCTATCTTTACAAACAGAAACAAAAATAAATTATGCTGGATCTTTTTATAGCCAGGAATAAAATCACGGCATTATGAGGCTTCTTGTCTCCAGGCAAACCAGACGCAGTGAGGTTGTCTTTGCAGGTGCAAATGACAAGTCGTTCTCCGATGCCTCTTGAACGCTTCCCGTAAACAGCAACATGGCTAATTAAAGGCGCAGGGGTTTTTTCTGTTTGGGCAATTTAAATCGACTTACTGTTCCCATATAACAAATGTTATTTATTTTACTGGTTATTGTATTGGTTAAAGGTTCAGAGAAACATGATACACTTCCCCAGAGAACCATGAGGACCTTCTGATATTGCTTTTTATTCCAAAACCCAAAAGGTATTAAATTCATAATGAGCTATAACAACTATTCCACACATGAGAAGCTACAACCAGTGAATGTTCAACATTTTTTAAACTAAAAGATCAAATTTGAGTTTCTTATTTACAAAAAGTACACTTGCAGCTACATACAATCGAACACCTACACAAGAATCAACCTTTTGTACTTGACAGAGAGCTGCCTGACAGGAAATGAGAGACCTGTGATATTACAAATTGGACACTTATTGGAAGCTGCACTGTGCTTGACTTCAACCATGTGCACTACGCCACATGTGATTGATAATTACCCCAAGAAAAAATTCAAATCATGTGAAATCTCTTACAGGTCTATAAGTCAGATACAGTCTGCTTGGTGTTCAGGTTGAGAGCTAGTTGATCGCCAAAAATATAACATAACTATAACTCATTTTAAAGCGAAAAAAGCTTCACATTTCATGGTTCCTGCTTCTTAAGTGTGATAATTGAATGTCTTTGTCTTATTTGATTTTTCAGTTATTTCATTGACAAAATGAGTTATTGATTCATAGAAAACAAAACAACTGACTGCAGCAGTCCTACCACAGTCCTATACAGTTTGTATTGTCACAACAGCAGTGTTGTTAGGTAGGTTTACCCTGAAGCAGAGATGATTTGGAGATTTTGTGGGTACATCGTTCAACCAGTTCTGATCCATATTCAGTCTAACGCTGTCCTCCTCTTCATTCCAACTCCTTTTATCTTTTGTCAATCTAAATAGAGCAAACAGAAACTGCAGAGTAGCACTTTCCATGTTTATTGTTATAGAGTGTCATAAGTGTTTGCAATCTTATGCCAGAATTATCTAACAGATAAACACTAAGGTATTGCAAAGTGCACTTTGACTGACTGTTAGGAGCAATAATAATGTTGTGAATTACATGGAAATGCTGAATTCATATTTTTTGTATGGTAAACAAAAACTAAAGTGTGAAGAAAATATGTGTGATTGCTTTGTGCATTGATTCTGATGGGTAGGATTTCTGGATAACTTTATAATCAAATGTTAACTAATCGATCTTAAAAGTAAAGTAGAGTTAAAGATGCAAGAGTGAATAAGCAGCATTAGGCTTTAACAAATGATAGCACATAACTCAACTGTCCACATAATGAACATAACATACATCTGATTTTTGAATTTCAATAGAGTTTGTACTTTATATACAATTGCTGCGATATGAATACAACAGATGTCTTTGGGATTGTTTTTTAAAATGTACTAACTCAGAGTATAATCCCTGACAGCCCCCATTAAAAGAAATAACGCTCGGATTTTGCCTTATTAGTCATTTTTTGGTAGCATTAAAACTGTCACACTAATAGCAGGAAGGACTGTGCAGCAGCAGTCACACTAATGATCAGACTACAGGTAACGTTGCATCAGCTAAACTTAATCGTGCTCAGTGAACACACAACACATCCATCTTCTTCCACAACACAGCAGAAACAATCTATCACACTGGAGGAGGAGGCGGGGTGAATGGCAGTGTTTGCTACAGTAATATGGCAGACAATTCAAAAACAACAGAAAACACACAAATATCCTCCTTCCTACCTGACAATAGCCTGGAAAAATATCTCATGTACATCGGGAGTTAGGTTAGTCCAAGACTTTGGGTCGGTCTCCGGAGGACTTCCTCCCTCCTCCGCTCTGTGTCTCTGCCCGTGCGCGAGCCATTAGAGGGAAACTGCGCTGCCTACGTCATCACTGCGGTGCTAAAAACGTCAACACGTTTTTACGTTCCCGAGCGTCGAGAGTGCGCGCGACAAAAACACAGAAACGTGGACTTTTGAAAAAAACAAACAAACAAAAGAAACAAACAAAAGGTATATCATTAGCCAGAGAGTTTAGATGAGACAAACAAACGCAGCCTTTTTTTTTGTCGTTTTAAATGTATGTATGTGACGGACTGGAAGCTGCAGCGTCTTTCTTAATGGGAAGAAACGTGCTCTTATTAATGTAACGTTGGCTTTGTTTATAGGCCGCAGAGTAACTTTAGTAGCACAGACTAGCTTTGAGTTGAAAAGCTGTTTTACACAACTTTGTTTCCTCTTGCGCTCTGTAGATTTCACTGGAGATAAATAGCAAAAGTTGAAGCTCACCGGTCAACGTAAACACCGCTGCCAGGAAGCACGTTGTTCCGTTCAACTCCCCGGATGAGTGAAAGCTGAAGGCCTGGACGACCGCGCTGCTCCGTGTGCTAATGTGGCTAAAGTCAGCTGGTTGAGCTACGTTAACTGCACGCTGCTTTTCTTTAAGTCACCGGCTGAACATGTTTGGTTCTTCGAGATCTGGAGGGGTCCGAGGGGGCCAGGACCAGTTCAACTGGGATGACGTGAAAGCCGATAAGCACAGAGAAAATTATCTCGGTAAGTCTAAAAAAAAAAAAAAGTGGCCGCAAATTCTGCTATCAGCGCTAACCAGAGGCAGTGCTAATAGCTGCTAGCTGTTTGCGAGTGGGACTGTAAAAAAAAAACAAAACAAAAAAACGCACACATTGGCTTCACATGCTGCTTTTCCTTTTACCTTTTGTTACAGAGTCCCTCATTACACAGTGTCTGGGCCGGTGGTCGCTCGGTATTAGTCCCGTTATCCACTCTACAGACAGCAGGTCCCAGTTTTAATCGCTCCCCTCTCTCTGAGCACACACACGTAGCCACTGTGCTATCTGAGCCCACACTGCTGTCACTAAACACGTAGCACCCACAGCTGTGACATAAAAGGATACAGCAGCATACTGCCCAGCAAATGTAATCGTTGTGGGGACACGGACATGCGTAAACACGTGATTTTGGTACATTGAAAGGCGTATTGTCACCACATCTGATACTGTTTTAGTAGCAGCAGAGTTTTTTTCTTCTTCTTTCTTTTAAGTATGGTGGGATCATGAGCTCAGCAGGTGACTCCGGAGAGAGGATGAGACCCAGAATTAAACATCTATAG